AAGATAAAATGTGGAGGCTAAGAAAGGCGCTTTATGGGCTTAAACAAGCACCAAGAGCTTGGAATAGTAGAATTGACCAGTACTTCCAAGCTAATGGATTCGTGAAGTGTCCACAAGAACATGCACTATATGTAAAGAAAAATCATCAAGGAGACATATTGCTCGTGTGCATATACGTGGACGATCTCATCTTTACGGGTAAAAATATGACGATGTTCGATGAGTTTAAACAAGTCATGACAAGGGAGTTCGAGATGATTGACATTGGGCTTATGAGTTACTATCTTGGCATCGAGGTGAAGCAAATGGATGATGGTATATTCGTCACTCAAGAAGGATACGCGAGAGAAGTACTCAAGAAGTTTAACATTGAGGACTCCAAACCTGTAAGTACACCTGTTGAAAGTGGACTAAAGCTATCGAGGTATGATAAAGAAAAATTGATTGATCCAACTTACTTTAAGAGTCTTGTGGGGAGCTTAAGATACTTAACATGTACAAGACCGGATATTCTCTTTGGTGTTGGACTTGTTAGTCGATTCATGGAGGCCCCCACAACAACTCATTTGAAGGCCGCAAAAAGGATTTTGCGATATCTCAAAGGCACCGCCGAATATGGGCTGTTTTACTCTCCATCTGATGAATTTAAGCTGGTTGGATATTGTGATAGTGTTTGGGGTGGAGATATCGATGACCGCAAGAGCACAACTGGGTTCGTGTTTTACCTGGGAAACACCGCTTTCACATGGGTTTCAAAGAAGCAATCGATAGTCACTCTGTCCACTTGTGAAGCCGAGTACATTGCAGCAACATCAAGTGTTTGTCATGCAATTTGGCTCAGGTACATATTGCAAGCTCTCGGCATGTCTCAAGAAGAAGCAACAACAATATTTGTGGACAACAAGTCACCTATTGCATTAACAAAGAATCCAGTGTTTCATGATCGAAGTAAGCACATAGACACTCGATATCATTTCATCCGGGGAAAGATAGCGAAGAAGGAAGTTCAAGTAGAGTATGTGAAGACTCAAGACCAAGTCGCTGATATTCTCACAAAGCCACTCAAGCATGATGTCTTTGCAAATATGCGGAATCTACTTGGTGTTGCTAAGTCAAGTTTAAGAGGGGATGCTAGAAATTAAACTTGGCTTAGCCCAATAATTGGGTCCATTAGAAGTTAACTTATTGGGCTAATAGTTGTATGAGAAATAATAAATTAGTTAGCCCATAAGTTAGAGTTAGTAAAGAAAGATCTAGAATAGTCTTTAGTTAATGTACTTATTAAATAATTCTAGAATGTTCCTAAGCTAGAATTCTATGGAATATTGTAGAATCTTAAGGAAATAGGAGTGCCTAGAAGGATCCTATGAGACCTATAAATAGAGCACTCCTCACTCATTTGTAATATAATTCAAAAGCTCCAAATCAATAAAAGTTCCAAGTTCTCCCATAATCATCTCTCTCTAAAATCCTCTCTTCCATACACAATCACCCAAATATAATACTCATAAACTCCTTTATTCCAACACTATGATCATACGTGTTGTTCCCAGCTCTTCTGGTTAAAATGGTTATTGGAGTTGGGATTTTCTTAACATTCTAAGGTCCTAAAACTATAAGGTTTAATCAGCTTCTGTATGTCATCAAGGATAACTATCTCCATTCCTCAAAGTGTCACCTATAAATTTTAGTTAAAATCAATAAGCCTTCAACAAATCTTAGTTTTGAATTACACTTTCGTAAGCCAAAAGCTGCAGAAGGGTGTATTTTAAATTTAATTTTAAAAAGGGGTTGCTGCATAAAGGTTTCCAAATTTTAACATTTATGTTTTCTTTTAGTTATCCGTAGAAGCTAGATTAAAGAAAAGAAAAGCGTAAGTCTTGAGTTTTAGTATTTTCCACCAGACATTTAAGTTTAATTTCAAGTAAATTGAGCCTTCCAAGTCTCTGTGGGGATGTTATTTCGGTGTTAGGCTCTAGTCGTGCTCAGTAAATTGGTCCCATTCAGTAATTATTCAGCAGCCAAAATTCCTCTTTTCTGTTTTCCTTTGAAATGGGCCTGCTCTAAATATTTTTGTGATCAGTGTTTGACTGGTGGCTGCTGCTGACTTCAGTACCAGACAATATTAAACCGATTAAAATAGCAACAAGTCTTACATCAGATTTGTAATTATTTTGTTATATCTAATTAAAGATTTCAAAGAAGAGCTTACCGGAGGACGTTATAAAGGTGCCACACTTATCCGAGTATTTTGAGTTCAGCCGTTAACAGGTAAGTTCACTACCACCTGTACATGTTTGTTCAACCCAATGAAAGGAAGAAGTCTGGTTGATTTTAATAGATGATTTTAGACTATTTGCTATTATGTGATGAGTTATTTTATTTGCTGAATTACGTTATGTTTATTATCTAGAATAGTCAAGATTTGTCAATACTTTTGTTTTCAGATTTAATGATGTTTTTAGTCAAATGTCACCATAAAAAGAACTAATATTTAAAGTGAAAGATAAGGTGATATGTACTCGGGAACAAGTTCCCTCAGATTAGCAGTTTTCAGTTTCAGATAGTCTGATATGTTTAGTGGGCCGCTCCCCTGAGCTGTCGGATTGGCGCCTTTGAGTACATATCACGGGCCCACAGAGTAAAATTAGCCACAAAGAGTTTTACAGAAAGATGCTTTTGAGATCTCTTTCAGAAAGTTTTACAGAAAGTAGGTTTTGAGATCTCTTTCAGAAAGTTTTACAGAAAGTTGTTTTGAGATCTCTTTCAGAAAGTTTTACAGAGATGTTTTGAGAAAGAAATTTTGAGATCTCTCCGGCAATTTTGAAAAATTATTTTAGAAAATATTTTTTTCCCTTTTGAGATCTCCCTCAGAATGTATTTGAGAAGTTATGTGTTAGTTATTTGTTCAGTGCATGCTTATAGGCTAAATTTATCTATTGATAAATTGGCATAGACTTCTACATATTTTTGTGGATCCATAGTGACTTACTAAGCGTAAAGCTTATCAGTTTTCTTTCTTCTCATGTATAGATGCTAAGGGTAAGGCCAAGGCCTAGGAAGATGATGAGGGAGTGGAACACGTGCCAAGATGAGTTAACGGGAACAACCTTGGCGGCTTTTTGCTAGATATTTTTTTGCTTCAGTATTTAAGTGTTATAATAAAGAGATTATTATTATTTTATTTTATTTAAAGATTTGAGGTTTGAATAAATTCCTGGATTTTTATTCAAAAAAAAACAAATTCCTGGATTCAGGTGGTTATCACAGTTGCTGGTGATCAGGGGCGGATCTGGCCCATGGCCAGGGAGGGATTAGGCCCATGCTCAAAAAAATATAATTACTGGTATGTATATATTATGTATATATTAATATATGGTGTTTTAGTAGTTATGATATAATAAAAGCTAATGCCAAATCATGAACATTAGTCAAGTTGGTCTGATGGAAGTACACCAATCATGCAACAAAAGGAGTTAGGTTCAAGTCCCTTGGACACCATATTTATAATTTTCCAATGCAACATGAGTAATTTTTTTTATACACCCTCCAAATTGTAGGTGGAATTTAATTACTTTACTTTTTTACATAGAGCATAGGCTATGAAGTCAAAAGAACCGATGCGAGCCAATTTCGGTTCGGTATATGGCTCTTTTAAGATAATTATATTTTCGGTTTTGTAACATTTATTTATTTTTTCTTTGACATTTCTGTAAAATTATATAACTACATCTTGTCATTTTAACATTTTTTTGCAAACTAAATTACGTAATTAAAATTTGGCCCCACCTCAACGCAAATGCTAGATCCGCCCCTGCTGGTGATAACTAGATTTTATTGAGTTTTTATTTGGAATTATATGTTAGTTACATTTGAAATTTTATCAGGGTTATTTCTTAAACAAACGGTCGTCATATTACAGTTTATTTTTAAAGTCCTTTACCGCACGCTCTAGGGACATACTCCGTATATAAACTTCAGTCTTGATCAGTCTTGATTTAAGTGCTTAATCAACTTAAGATATTCAATCGTAATTTCATACGTAGTATATCTCTAATTCAACTGATTTGTTCAATAACTAAAATAATTAGGGCTCGATTTACTTTTTTGATTAAAGTGGATGAAGTCATGACTGTACAAGACCATTTTAGGTATTTATGTATTTTTTCAATAATCAAAGTAATTGTGGTTGAATTTACCTTTCTAGTTGAATTGACCGAAATGATTATAGAGGATCATTTTAATTATTTTTCATGTATATTTTATTAGTTAGTAGAATACCTAAAAAGTATACACCACTAACTTTTGGGTTTGAATTGAATGAATCAACTAAACTATGTTAAAAATAAACGGCTCGGAGTATATAACATTATAACGTACGTAGTATATTTTAACATAATTGAGCAGGTTCGCTCAATTTAACTGTTTCAGCCAAAATTTCATCAATTATAACAGTCAAATTATTAAGTCAATTTTAACATTATCAAATTAAACGGGTTTACATTGTCTTTTATCTAAGCTAGTGGAGTGAATGATACCCGCACGGGTAGCTCAGTTGAATTGGTTGAGTAGTGGAAATTTGGAACAATGACCAAAGTTTGAATTGAAACCCGCAGCGATCGTGTGAAGGTTACAACTCAAACGTGCTGGGCTGGATCTCTGGTGCGCACGGGTATAAGGCCTACCACAATTTGTCGGATTGAGTCACCGTGACTTATCCCTCCACTGCACCATGCTGTCGAGTCCGGAGATTCCACCTTTTTTTGGAACAACATGCATTAGAGTGAATGATCACATGGTGCTCTCTTTTATCGAGTAGAGTGAATGATCACATGTTGCTGTCTTTTATCTATTAGAGTGAATGATCACATGCATGGCCACATATAAGCCTTAAAGGCCACTGCGGCTTCACATGTTGCACATCAGCCAAAAAGCTTCTATTTTAAGTAGCCATGCCACTATTTATAACCCCCTCTCCCCTTCTTATTGGATCCATATATAATAAAACCATATATAGTCTCCTCCCTGAGCTCTAGCTTACCCCTATATATGTACGTTACAATTACCTTCCTGGCTACCATCAACCATGCATAATAATCCCCCCGATCATCCATCATTTAAAACTAGCTAGCTTATATAATTAACAAGCGCTAAATACACTATATTTTATAGCATTTGGTTGGGCGGCCGGCGGTATGTCCATTGGTGTTTTATCGGCGGCATCAAGTGGCGTTTTTGAAATCTACGGCCGCTACTCGAACGGAGGTGCCGATGTATTAGGTAGCCGTGGCTTGCCTAAGAATGGAGGCTCGAGGTACTTTTCCTCCTTGGTAGAAGATTTAGCAGTGTAAGTTTATATATGGACATCTATATATGTACGACATTATTTAAATTAAGATTTTTTTTTTCTTTTTTTGTTGCTTTTTTGACATGTTTTGCTGCTTATTAGAATTAACTCTTGAATTACAGCCTTCATTATGCAAAAGTTACAGCCTTCATTGGGAGTTCCTTGTTTTGGCTCCCATGCATTTGCAATGTCAACATTGATTCGCACAAGGTATTTACTACGTGTATGTCAGTGTGTTTCTTGGTCAAACATGTAGGTAACTAGTTAAAGACTTGGGGGTATTTGAATAAAGAGGGAGAATTTGACTTTCATCCCACTTTTTGGGTGATATTGGACTTTGTATTTTACTTATTTTTTTTTAACTTCGCACTCCAACACATACCATTTTGTGAAGAAAAATTCCTACATGGGATGAAAGAAAATTTAAGTGGCCCAAAAAATGAGATGCAAAATCAAATTACCTCTTGAATAATAGCTTTGTACTCTACAAAGTCATATTTTACAACGGTAAATGCAACATTTTGGCCCAATCCACTGAAATACAAATAGGGTCATAGTTCCACATACGTAGTAGTCCGTATAATTATGGTTGCTAATATAACTAAGTTAAATAACTCTAATTAAAAGCAAATATCCTCATAAATTAAATTAATATGTAGTATTATTTAATATGCACTTTGAAAATAATTAACCCTCATTAGTCTCAATCATTTGGATATATAAGTGATTAGTAGCCACCTTTTCATTTCAAATTCGATGTTTGTACTCATAAACAACTATGTCAGAATGTCAAATAAATGATCCCATTTTAGATCTTTTATTCGTGTTTTCAATATCATCTTTTGATGTTTGAATTAGTAATGAGAAAGAGATTCTATATTATTTTTCTGGTATATTCAAATAATTCATACTATTACAAATTACTACTGAAATACTTATTCGGTATTATTATTAGATTATGAGAGGTGATAGATATTATTTTAATTTATTTTCTCTATAATAAAACTATTTTCTTTGTAAAATTGTTGTTTCACTGCATGTTGTCGCCACCTACACCAGACAATGAATTTCAATATTTATCATTCGGATAAATCGTCCACATACAAGAGTATCGATTGCCCACCGTACTTTCAAATAATGGATGCCCATTTGAGGCCGGATACATGGATGGATCGTCCGCTACGGGGGTGCTCATATCAGACATAGCACACCTAACGACTTATGATCACCAACATAAACACATTCAGGCTGCTGTTACATTCGGGTATGCACGTAATTAATATACATACATAATTTACATTTGTAAATGCATGCAATCTGATGAATAATTTTTGATTATGTTTTATTTATTCTAATTTGTTAAGATCCGAGTTTCCATCCTAAATTAAAAAGTCCTAACCTGAAAGGATGAGTAACTCCTGTCCTAATATAACACTTTGTTGATTCAAATAAATTTTTGTGTCACTTTAATATACTGTAATAAATAATTTTGTAATACAATATTAAATGATTAACATTATAATGATTTAACACCATGTATGGGAAGGTCGGGTGGAAAAGTAGTTTTGACTTTTTTTACTATGTTTGTTCGATGTTAGGTGTGCATCCAATGTAACTTGTTACTGTCAAGACTATTCAGCTTTTAATGGTTTGTTGGGGCTAGGGCCGGGTAATGAGCCCGATAATATGGATGCCCTCAGCATTCTTGCTGCTCCAGGGATTGTTGGCAATTCCTTCCTCTGTTTATGGTCCAGTGGGAATGGGACATTATTGATATTGGGAGACAAAGGGACAGGGACCCCAATGAGAGGGAAACACCATTGAATCTAAATATACAAAAGTACGTCCACTACATACTCAGCTAGGTACGTACTTCTCCAATCTTTTCATCTAATTTAATACTCCCTCCGTCCCCTATTAAATCTCCCGGAAGAGGGTGACACGAGTTTTAAGAAAAGTAGGTTTGTGTGGTTGATATTAATTGATAAAGTAAGAATAAAGCAAGAATGATTTTGAGATACACAAACTTTACCAAATAAGGTATGTGATAATTAAATAAGGACATCCCAATATGGTAAAACAGGACATTTAAAGGGGGACGGAGGGAGTACTATATATCTATACACGTAGTACTACCTCCGTTCTCTTTTAATTGCAACATAGGACTTTTTGCACTATTCACACATTCTACTTTGACTATAGTTTATTTATTAATGTATTACGAATTTAATTTTTAAAAAATATTGTTAAATTCTTCTCATTCTAAATTTTGTAAATATGATTCTTTTAAAATTTTTACTAATAAGGATTGAAAGATTTTAATGGTCAAACTCGTGTGTTGACAAACGTGAAATGTTGACTGTTGCAATTAAAAGGGAACAGAGGAAGTATATGGTAATCTTGAATTTCTTAAAATTATTATATATAGTTTGTAGAGACTTACTAATGATGTTTAATTAATCTTGCTCTACAACATTTCTTAAAAAGTAGATTCTATGATACGCATAAGACACCATTCCTTTGTTTATATGGACCAACCAAAATGTTGCAGTTGAATTCAGGACCGGCCCAGGCCAGGAGTAGGATGTGCAATGGCAAAGGGCCCATGTAAAATGAAGGCCCAAAAATAACTAGCACTATTTGTTTATCCTAGGTATAAATCGTAAATGCGAGTTACATTTGAAAATTCTTCGATTGCACAGCAGAAAGGCATAAGGAGATTTAAAATGCATAGGTTACAGGTCGTATGTTCGAAACTTGGTTCAGGTTGTTTTTTTCTTTACTTTTGCTCTTTTAAGGCCTTAATTAAATCATAGTGGCTTTACATATTTTTATTTAATTTTTTTTCTTTTCGAAAACATTTTGATTCATAAAATTTAATATTTACATTTGTGTACATAATATAAACCAATTTTTTGAATGTACTTGTGAATTTGAAATTGAAATTAATTTGAATTACATAGTTAATCCTTCAATTCCCTTATATCATTTGTGTATTTATGAACATAATTTTGAATAAACAACAAACACCGTGTGATTAAAACTTATCTAACAAAGTAAAAACTATTTATTTTAAGCATGATAATGTAATGATTTTGTCTAGTGAATATTATGTTATTTATGTTTGTCTTTACAATTTCTTTTAATGCATTAGTTGATTACATTCGTCAGATAATATCTTAGGCAAGTTCCCCTCTTGAATTTTTTTTGGTACGCCATTGATCTAAGGCAAGTTAGAGCATTTCAACACTAAGGAATTTTGCATTTGTATTGAATAAATTGATATTAAGTCATTAGGTAATACATTTGGTTTCTCTTTGCATTAGAAAAAAAGCCCAATTTTTTCTTCGCACAGGGTCCTGGAATTCTTAGGGCCGGCCCTAGTTGAATTATTTAAGTCTAAATTAAAAATGATATACCTATTTGAACCTATTAAGTGAATGATAGATACGATACCCCATTTTTTAAATGAGCACCGGAGTTCTCATCTTCTTAAAATCTCGTACCACATCATAGATTTACTATGATGTCTCTATTTCAATACTCGTACAACATTTCAATAATAATATACGTACCTTTTGAATTTTCAGTCAAAAATATTTTGCACCACGCACAGTCTAAATTACCTACATGCACCTTCCAAAAAAATTTACTACGTAGGAATAAATTAACTCACGTATCAGTCCTATTATCAGCCTTATTAATTGGATACTTATTAACTCCGTACTGAAATTTGCTGGTCTGATCTGGTCTGGTTTGAACTGGTCTGGTTTGGTAAACGTCTGATCTCTGTGTCTGGTCTGGTCTGGTCTGGTCTGATCTAATCTGATCTGGTCTGGGACTGAAAATAATTAAAAAGAAAACACCCTAACATAAAGTTCACATTATCTAGACATCTAGTGAGATTATTTTGGCCGAAATTCAAATATAATGATACCAACCTCAAACTATTTAATTTACTTAATTGTGGTGTCAATATGCTTATTATCATTCAATAGTATAAGCACCAAAATATAAAATGTGTTCTTCACACATTTATTAATTAGTTATATGTTCTAACTATACTTTTGCAGTTCAACTCTCTAATAAAGGAGCCACGCAGCCCGCCAACATATATGGGTTATTTTGAATACTGCTATAACTTGAGGTGGTTATAATCCAAATGTAGGTTGTTTAAGAGTTTTTTTTTCTAGCAATCTCCATGCACATATATACAAGTATACCAAGCTAATTGAGCTATAATAACAATAGCAGTTTATGATGAATTAGCATATACTCCGTATGTTTTTTGCAGGTAAAAGAAACCATTTCAACGCTTCTACCTAAGGTAAAAGAAACCACTTCAACGTTTCTACCTATTCTGGGGATGCACAAGCTTCATCATCCATCGCCTATTATAAGAAGAGTTGCATGTTATGGGTTTCTAGTCTATTACATTTTATGCAATAAGAAATTGCTATAAATAGGAGTAAAGAATTAGTGATGTACATAAATAGAATGTTAAGATTCGGGGTTTCATCCTAAAAACTAACCTTATAAGAAGAGTAACCCAAAATCTTATATGAAGTGTATTGTTTTATTGTTTAAACTTGGGGTTCTCTTCTAAAGGATCAATCTTGTAAGGGGAATTGTCCAATATCTTATACTTCGTATAATGTTTTATTGTTTATTATGTTTAATATCATGATTCTGGTGTGGGATAAATGTTTTATTTAACATAGGAGTAGGACTGTTTTGTTTTAAAAGTATAAAGCATTTAATATTATGTAGTATTATTAAGAGAATAAAAGTGGCTAAAACTTTTTCTTTAAGAGCCAAAATGTCTTATTTTGAAAATAAAATAAGGAGTAGTTCCGTAAATAGAAGTAAATAAAAGTTAAGTTCCAAAATTATGAGTATAAGTTTTGAATTCCCGGCCAAAATATGAGTAGCTCTTCCTATCACCCTTCTCATGCGTGCTTTAATGGGATTTTATTATATTTGTAATATAATAAAATAGAAAATTTTTAAAAAAATACTTAAAACACTAGTAAAAAATGCAGGCTCTAGTCACCGCCTCAAGCACCTTCCAACACCGCCACCTCCGATACCCAAATAAAAATGTCAATATGTAATAATAATGTCATCTTGATGACAGTTTAGGAGCATTTTTTTGACATTTTCAAAGAGTAATAATCTCATTTTCATGGCATTTTCAGAGAAATGTGACTTGTTTAAACTACAAATGCCATTTTTTTGACTATCGGTGGTGGCGGTGCTGGGAGTTGAGGCGGCAGAGGCCTACTTATTATGGAGTATTTTATTCTTTCCCAATTTTTCTTCATTTTCATTATAAACTTTGAAACATTTTTAATATGATACGAAGTATGTTTTATATTATAAATAAAACTATGATTTTATTCATGCTGAGTTGTCTTAATCGTACTTTCCTCATATCCTTCGCATGTACACAATTGATGAGTTTTTTTATAATTAGGGAAAATTGTCAAATAAGTTCTTCTATTATTGTCAAAATGTCAATTGAACCCTCCTATTATCAAATCACCCAATTGAACCTCAAACTTTGAAAGAAACAACAATCTAACTTTTCACCGGGTAAACCAACGGTGACCAAGTTAAAATGTTTAAAGCAGTTTTTGCATAAGCTTAAAAAAGTACTTTCAAGCTTTTAACTTAAAAAAGTTAAAACAGAATAGAGTGTTTGCAACAACCAACTTCTAATTAAAAAAACATTTTAAAGTTAAAAGCTAGAAGCTGGTATATACACCAACTTCTAAGTGCTTCTAGGTATTTATGTAAATAAATCAAACTTTGAGGATGATTATGACTTATGATGAAAAATTTATGCAGCTCACCCCAAGATACCCCTTTAATTCTCTCGTATCTCTCATCTTCCCGTAAGTCGTAACCCCTTTTGCCATTTTTGAAAAACCTGCGCAAGAACATAAACCAGAAAAAATGTCTTTTGGAATTTTTTATACGGAGTATGTGATTTCCAAGATGCTTCTGTAAGTTTCATAATCCCTTTGAAGTGTGCTTTTACAAATTACCAAGTTCTTCAACCTATGTAGAACGGAAACTATCGGGAAACAATACGTTTTCCGTTTCGGAAACTCTCGGAAACTCTTTGGAAACTCTCCAAATAAGCCTTTTTGAGCAAAAGTTGACGTTTCCTGTTTCCTCCCGATTTTCGCGTTTCCGTGCAACATAGTCTTCTACAATATTGGATATTAATTCTTTTAAAAGATTTACATATATTATATATATAGAGATGGAATTTGGAGGAGATGCATGCAAATCGCAGGGGAGATGCGTGGGGACATCAAAATATTGGCTTGCACCGTCGTCTAAGGTGTTCTTCTTGAGACCGGAACTTCAATTTCAAAGAAGGTGGAGGAAATATATTATTATGGATCTCGTGTAATGGGTTTGAATATTGTTGGTGGGAACAAGGAGCATGGTTTTAAATTGCGGTTGCGGCTGCGGTCGCGGCTGCAGTCGCGGCTGCGGTGGCGGCTTATGCGGCCGCTGCGATGCGTATTGCGGCCACTGCGGTGTGAAATATTTTCACATTCGCACATAATAGGAATATAATGATTTTTTTTGGGAATTACAAATCTTCTACTCGTAGGGGTATTAATTATACCTAACATAAAAGTGTTATGTTTGTTTTTCTAAATATCCTGGTGAGACTTCCAGATCATAATAATCATGTTTTAAAATTTTCATATTATATGTTTGCAAAAAAAGATCTATATTGATATTATTTTTGCACTTATTCGGGATAATTTGGGTACTAAAAAAATACTACCCTGGCCTCCATAAAACAGCTATTGAAAAATTTGAAATGAAAAAATATAATTTCCATAACAATATTTTTGTTAAAAGAAATGGATGAATAAGGCTAATTTCAAACACATAATAATATCCCCATGCTCTCACTAAGACCAAATCAGAGCCACACATAACATATCCATCCATCCTATTACCAAATGAAACATTCTCCTCTCACCCCAAATTTGACCAGAGAAGCGGAGTCGGTGAAAGAAAACAAAGACCCAATAAATTGTCATCTCATCTTCATTCTAATCCTTAAGTTTCTTGCAAGCGATCTTGGTTGGTTTTGGAAAGAGGAAGCAGCTTGGAATGAGATGAATCGATAAAGGAACCAGAAGACTTGGGCAGAGATAGCATTGGTGCGGCCGGTTTCCGCCGGATGCGGTCGGTTGCCGTCGGATGCGGCCGGTTGCGGCCTGATGCGGCCCCGTTGCGGATTCGGTTGTGGTTACGTTGCGGATTTGGCCGTGAAATGAAATCACAAAGCTGATGCGGGATGATGCGGTTGCGGAACCTCCGGCAACCGCAATATTGGGGCCGCAATAGGTGTTACGGTCCGCTATTTGAAACCATGACAAGGAGATAAACAAAGTAATTTGTTTTTTAATTTAATAAATACTTAAGGATATTATTGTACTTCAACAAAATATTACATCTAAAATCACTTTTTAATCAAACACTCCACTTTAACTTTTTCATTATAATCACTTCTATTCTCAAACACTACCAACTTTTACTACGTACAAAATCACTTTTCCAATAATCTCTTAAAAAATCACTTTTAAAAAGCACAAGTAATCGCAAACACTCCCTAAGGCTGGTTTGCAACTGCTTAAAAAAGCACTTCTCGACTTTTGGCTTAAAAAACACTTATGTACCAATTTTACTTTTCTCGGCTTTCGTGTGAAAAATGTTTTTCTCTTTTCTATTACACAAAAAACACTTATTTTACCAAACATTACCAACTTTTACTTTTCAAAAACACTTTTTTCTCAAACACTATCAACTTTTACTACTGATCACTTTTTTCAAAATCACTCCAAAAGCACTTTTTTAAGCACAAACAAAAGTTTAAGACCTCTGATTCTTTTTACTTTTTTATTTTTAAATAGAAAGATAAAGTTGTCTTATTCAAAATCCCAATAAGAACATTTTTTCTCCCACTTCAACATTTGATACGCCCTTCTTATATAGAGAACTTTCGAGAAACGCGCTTTCACATCTGAAATGGCAGGGATGTTCCTTTTTTGCGGAGGTGGCGGGGTGGGCCTGTAGCTCAGTGGATTAGAGCACGTGGCTACGAACCGCGGGGTCATGGGTTTGAATCCCTCCTTGCCCACAACTGTCCCAAAAGCTAAATACTTTTCCCTCTGTGGGTAGGACAATAATGATTGGGATAACGAACAACAGTTGCAAACAGACGCTTAGCAGTTGTTATACCGTGGGAGCGGTGCATGGTGAGCATCTCGCTCCCACATTTATATGAAATGTAAATCATGTGAATCAATTTGTAACTTCAGGTTAATCAAATGTAAATTATACTCATTTAAATGTAACTCGTTGAAATGTAAATTGTTTATATTGACATGTAACTTGGAATCAGGTGAGATGTAACTTGGGAAATGTAACTTTAGCCTATTGAAATGTAAAACGTCTTTATTGAGATGTATCTTCAGAGCAATGGATATGTAAATTGCGTTCATAACAATGTAACTCGAGGCCAACAAAACATAAAAAAAATTGGTGCAGCAGCTTCCTCCTCCTCCTAGACCAGCAACTTCGAGTATGTTGCCTCACACCGGTAGCCTCGTCCCACGACCAGCAGCCTTGCAGCAACAACCTCATATCAGATGACACAAGTCGTTAGGGTTTGGCAGCCTGAAATTGATGGCCGGGGTGAGAGTATAGGTGGCTAATGAGATTGGCGATAGATTCATAGCAAGACAACAAGCAAGGAGAAGAACCAACGATCTTGATATATGAAGAACCAAGCGATGACGGCCGCCAGAGTTCAATTCGTATCTGTGATGATGGCTATGGTTTCTTTGCGCTCCCTTTTTAATTAATAAAACAACGTAGCTTTGGGATCGGCACACCATGCTCATGGTGGGCCGATCCCACGGTATAAATTGGGGACGCTTAGTGGGTAACCAACGTGGCTACACGCAACATGCTTATTTTCTTTTCACGCAACATGCTTATTTGTTCTACAACTTGGTCTTTCTCCATTTTCTACATCTAGGATGGGCTTGTGGATTCGATGAACAACTTCAAAGTCTTAAACCTCACTGGAGCATCATATCCGACCACGAAGGAGGAATATGAATAGAGCAGGCACGATAACCTATTTATGCCGACAAAGCAGAGAGGGGTTTCACTCTTAGCTCCTCAAATCCGGTTGGCCCTTATTTATACACAGTATATAGAACTCCCTGCCAATCTCGCCGCTGGGCAATTGGAGATTGTTAAAATGGAGGGGATGATCTATAACGCCGTGGCATCAGTTCAGAAGCCCGTGGCGGGGCCACCCGTGGTGGGGCTGCTGAAGACAAATGCGGCAGAGACGGTTGTAAACGGCAGGGCGGCGTGAATTGCGCCGCCGCCATATATGGAAAGTCTTAAATGGTCGGGGTGGAGAGTGATGGAGAGTGTCTACGCCTAAGGGATCAAATGTGAGAGAAATGCAGAAGGAGAAAGTTGAACAGTGTCAAAAGTTTTTTCAGACCAAAATAAAGGAAAAATTGATGCAAAAGTGTGGGTTGATCAAAATAAAAAACATTAATCCACACAGCGGATTGAGTGATGGAATAAAGTAGGGGTGGGCGCGGTCCGGTCCAATATTTGGCCG